GCCAAATTGCTGCAGTACAACGGGATTCTACTGTCCTCTTCTGGTGAGATCGACATTTGAATCTCTTCTTCACACACTTTCATACGATATGAAAGTCCATCCAATGGGATAAGGAAACCAGTGGGGAGTGTCTATAGGCCTAATTCAATCTAGACATAAGAGAACACCGCTTGATTGGATGAAAAAAAACAAGTTTTGAGCAGTGATAGCAAAGGGGAAGATTCGCGGATGTACGATAAGTGAATTTATCATGATAAAGGAAGGGGTACCTAAACTGTATAGCAAGAAGTTGGTCAAGGCACGTGGGTTAAGTGGATGGTTGAATAAAGGCTCTGCTTTTATCAGAAAGTCAAGTTGTGGAGATGAGGAATCGACGGTGGAGGTTGCTATGTTCCAAAAAAAACATTCATAAGGGGACAAACAACGTTGAAAATGTCAAAGGAATATTGGCTATATTAATTTAAATATGCCTTTTTGATGAATTGTTGATCATTATTAGTCTCGATGCTGACATTTATGCCCGGTAAGAGGATATTATAATGACGAGGTATTCTCGACGTCACTCTGAGAATGTACTTTAGTCTCGAAGGCGAGATCGATTGAATCCTAGCCAGCCAACTTTTGTTCATTTCTTTCCTTTGCTTCCACTGGTATTTTTGTATAGTTTCACGTGGTTTGCACAAAAACAGTGTCCTACCCTGACGAGGCCTGTCAATAAAGATGTTCAGCATCATTTCATTTGGTTGTATATTGAAACTTTTAATATTTAAGTAGATTAATACATAATGGCCCTTTCTATGTTCGCACACTGACAAGAATGTGCTTAGCATTGATCCTTATTTCATTATTTACATTAATGTTTCCTTGGTACTTATGAATTGAGAAAACCTCTTAACTTTAAAATATTTATTTATGGATCAGGGCCGGTCTCAAGTCAATCGATCTGTTGTATCTCATTGTCCCTCATCATCGCTCATCGATTGGTGGGATTCGATCAAGATGAAGCACGAGTCTCCATATATATATATATATATATATATGTATGTATGTATGTATCGAATTTTGCAGGGCTAGACGCGTCTGTAATTGCCATTTTGTATGTTCAGCACAATTTGTATTGTAGTTAACGGACCATTTCTCTTATCTTAACTGCAAAGCGTGAACATTCCATCTCCATCATGTGAGTCTTTGTAAAGATTTTTCGTTTACAAATAGGTTTTCGAGCCTACCAGTAGATCACATACATGAGGTGTACTCACCATATTTCGTTAATTCAACTGTCAGTCCCTTTTTCACCTCAGACGAAATAGAGTGAATACATTGGATATTTATGGTGATTTACTTTTTCCCATTTTTGCTTATTCGGTATACATCTCACTTATGCTCTGTTGAGATTCGTAAACGTCTATTCTCTCTTTCTCAATCCCTCAACCACATCCATGCCCCAAATATGCACTTTTTTCCTACACCCGATTAGGTGACATCGGTATGCTGCATCCCGATGGTTGCTTGTCCATCATCGACCGTAAGAAGGACTTGGTGAAATTGCAGGCTGGCGAATATGTCAGTCTGAGCAAGGTAGAAGTGGCTCTGCGTACCTCCGTGTACGTGGAAAACGTCTGCGTGTACGCCGATCCCACTCAATCGTATGCAATTTGCTTTGTCTCCCCGAAGCGACGCCAATTACGCACTCTGGCCAATGAACTTGGCCTCGAGGGCGTGATAACAGCGGCTGCCAAGGCTTGGTGCGCCGAACATGAGGCCAAGGAGCCGGGCAGCTCAAATCGTCCTGACCTCCAGGACTCCAGGGAAGCTGTAGAACATCTGGCATTGTGCAGATCAGAGCAGGTGAGTTTTCTTTTAACAAGATGTCTGAACGCTCTGGCTTCAATACTAATCTTAACGGCCGTTAAATAGAGATTTGGCAGCTCGTCTTCCCTTGGACTCTTAGCCGTACATTCATCTACCCTTGCTAGTAACAAAACGCTGTACCATACCCTCCCGATATAGGCGGCAGTCCAAGATATGTCCAAGAAAACTTTAAAAGTTCACCTCCACATCAGTTTTCCCGTGATTTTGTAGTTTATCTGCTCTTGTAGCATTATTATTTCTATGGAAGCTACAAGTGCCTTAGCCCAATATTCTTCTTTTTAACCTGACATTACACGTCACTATCTTACTCATTCACTTGTC